TCTACAAGCAAAACTGTAAAGGCAGCCAACACCTGAGAGAAAACTGCTAGTCGGTGCCCCTTGTGCTAACTTAGGGCAATGAGCTACTTGTCCCCTAGTCTGTGAGTACATGTGTCAGAGTGGTTTGAGGGAGAGGTGAAAAGGTGAACCGCAAGGTAAGAGTCAGGTCAAAAGGACAACAGAAGGCATGCAACAGTGGAGAAGCAATGAGAGCCTTGCGTGCTTCCCTCGTGAAGTTCAGGTATCCTTTTAGTTGCAGAAATGCATCTTGGATTTAAGAGTCGTAGATGTCTGTAACATGACCACCTTGTCTTTAAAAGCATTCACTTGTTCTAAAAGAAAAAAATATTTCAGAGGATTATTTTTCAGTAGTGTGGCGCCCCTGCCTGTTGAAAGGGGTCTTCTTTGCCCCTGTCGCTGTCCTGACAAACGCTTTCCCCCTCCTTAACAAGGGAATGGGAGGCCTCAGAAATTGGGCCGGCTACCTGGTTCCGTCACCAAGGTTAAGCCTGCACCCCTGCGCGAGTCCTCGGAGACGTCCGCCGCGTCGTCTCTCCCTCCGACTTCCCGGTCGGCCCGTCTCCCCTCTCGACTCCACAGTTTCCTCCTCCCCGGCCTCCCTCTCTGTTCCCCCTTTTATTCCATTTTTCCTCCCTCCGTCTCACTGGGCACCTGAGCTGCCCATCAAATGTGGCTCCGTCTCCATATAAGAGCTCCGACGCTCTGCTTGGGGCGGGGCGTTTCGACCCCGCCCGGAGCAAGGGCGTGGAGGCCCCCTGCTGCCTGGCCGCGCCGGCCCTGCAGACCTCGGTGATGGCGACGTCTCCCTGGGATTTGCCCTCCTGCCTCGTACCCGGGGACGTGCTCTGCGGGGAAGGGGTTGGGCTGTGGCCCGGCACCCGCCGTCCCCGTTGCTTCCTGCCTCTGGGTTCGCTGTCTCTTTGCCCGTTTCGGAGCCTGGAGACTTCCTCTCGGGGCCGTCGGCCGTGGTAAGCGGGGGAGTTGCGGGGTGGGGCTCGAGCGGGGGCTCCAGAGAAAGGTCCGGACAGTCGGACCTGGGACAAGCAGTTTCAGTAGTTCTGATTTTTGCATTGGAAAAATGTACAAAAAGGCCTCAGGGGAACAGGAAAAAAATGTGCTCCCCTCCTGAATTTCCCTTTTCCCCATAGGCCTTCATATCTCTAGCTAGGAGTGAGCTATGCACCTGCAGGGATTGGTGCTTCCCCATAGTGCTGCCCCATGCAATTGTGGTGGTGGTGGTGAGGGCTTGGCTAGGGAACTGGCTCCAGGAAAGGTCACTTTCTCACTGAACAGCCATGCTTCTACTTTTAAAGGAAGCTGAAGGTGGCACGCTGGAACCTCCAGTGTACATGTGGTACCTTCACACTTCTGTTGTCTTTGGCCAAATGACTTTTGCAGATTGTTAAACATGCAAAAACCTGTGAACAGTGGTATGCATCACAAGGCTTCTACTGCACCGCTTTCAACACTCTGGATAAAACAATCCAGAGAACAGTGATAGATCAAAGTCCCTCTTCTCCCCCTCCTACCACACTTGTCCAGCTAGCCTTGTGGCTCTCTCTGCCCGTCAGCACACATCTGCCATACTACGGCTCCTGTCCATCCAGTCCTTTCCCTGGGCTGAGATAGAGGAGAGGTGGCACAGGTGTGTTCCATGACTGAGAAACTGTAACTGTGGTGAGACGTCAACCGTACTCCATCACCTATTTATCCCACCCTTGATCCAAGGAGCAAAGACTGCCATGCCTGGTTCTCCTGTCCTCTATTTTGTCTTTAGACCAACCGTTTGCAGTAGTTGAGGCTCAGTCACCCACATAAGCAGACACCCTCAGCATAGTCTAACTTCATCTGAGCTGCCACCCTCAGCTTTCAAACGCATCCTGTTAATTCCTCCCCCCAGTCTGGAGTCTCTTTTTGAAATGATGAAACACGTTTCTAGCCCTCATTGTTTGCTTGGAAGGGAATCAGTTGGATGACAGAAAGCTGCAGAAACCAGAAGGCAGAACTCATTTTAAAAATAGTCCCAAGTATAACCACTACGTCATACTGGCTATTACCTGAGCCAACTCTGTTGATGATAAGCTTGACTGGTGCTGAAAGTGAGCATTAAAGTGGTGGACTTGCACTGAGGAGACCTGGGACGGAATCCTGGCAAGAGTGCCATGGAGTAAGGGGTCATGGAGTCAGAGCTTCGGATCGTCACCTTCTCTCAGCATAACGGATTCTATAGAGTGGCTGTGGAGGGGGCGGCGGCGGCGGGGACCGTGGCACTTACACCAGCCTGAACTATATGGCGGAAGGATAGGCTATGAGCAAAGTATTAATGGCGTTGGCCAAAAGGTAGTGCGTTCTTGGCCATTGCCCATGTGAACATTTTTGCAAAATGCCATATCTGATATGTTGTGAGGAAGTCTGAGACTGATTGGAAGTATTCATTGCCATGCTATGTAAATGTCGTTCATTTCAAGAGAGTTTGGTTGGGACATCCATGAACGCACCATTGAAACAAGTAGATGCTGTATGGCAGCTTCACTAAGCAGATGGCTTCCTGCCCCTCTCCTGGGGAATTTGATGAAAGATGTAGAAACTCCAAGAGGTTCAGTTCTTTGTGTCGTAACCTTCCCTTATGGCTCATGAGAACTCTTTCCTGTAGTTCAATCTTCCCATCTGGCTGGGAAAGGGGAGTTGAAAGTACATGTGGGGGGGGGGGAAATCAGACGTGATACTTCCTGTGAATTTAGAGAGCACTTCTGGACTGACGTTTGGGAGCAGGTGGGGGAGAAAAGGAGAACACTGTACTGAAGATCCAGACTCAAAAGCTTTTGCTTAAGAAACAACAAAACCCCAAAACCAACGAAACTTGGGTTTCCTAAAGCACTGAAGGAGCATAAAGCATAGAAACACTAGATTGGACAGGACATGGATTTTACTGGTTTGGAAACACTTCATGACAGGTTTCAAGAAGAGGCTGGACGAATATTTGTCAGAGATGCTTTAGGCTGCTCCTGCATTGGGCAGGGGGGTTGGACCAGATGGTCTGTATGGCCCTCTCCAACTCTAGGATTCTAGGATTCTCCAGTAGTGGTAAGATTAAACACGAGTCAAGGGAATGTTGAAGGAGATGAACTAAATTCTTTACTCTTGAGACAGTTTTCCAGTTTGGAGAGGGACTGTGGCTCTGAGGTAAAGCTAGAGATGTAAAATTTCTGGAAATTTTGAAGCTCATTAAAAAACCCATTTTTTCCCCGGAAAAAAAATGGATTTTTTGGGAAAAATTGGAAAAAATACTACATTAGCATTTCTTTTACCTTTTCTAGATTGAAAGTCATTCTGTTACTTTAGGACCATAAAATATGACTATGGACATTTTTACTTGGCATGAAATTATCACAACTAGCATATTAAAAATACAGTGTATCCAAACAATTATTACAAACAGAATACCCACCCACATGCAAAAACAAAACTGAAACCTTTTTATTTTCTTCTGACAACAGCACCTCCTAAAGGAAGAAATGCATCTTGTTCTTGCATTGGAGAGTTCCGTTTGTAACCTAGGACTTGCTTGTCCTCAGTGCACAGAAATTAGATCGATCTGATATATAATATATATATATTAGAAGTGATTTGGAAAATATTTGAACACCTTGTCTTAAAATATTTTATTCATCATGTTAAAATAAAACATTCCATAATCAATTTTTTCCTTTTCTTTTTTCAATTTTTCCAATTTTTCGGGGGGAAAAAGGCTTCAGGAAAAAAATGGGAAAAAAACTTTTCCTAACTTTTCCGGGTCTTCACATCTCTAGGTAAAGCATCCTCTTGGCATGCAGAAGGTCCCTGGTTCAATCTCTGGGATCGCCAGTAAAAAGGATGACGCTAAGGGTGATGGGAAAGACCTCCACCAGAGACACTGGAGAGCTGCTGCCAGTCTGAGTAGACAATACTGACCCTTGATGGACCGGGTTGTCTGACTCAGTCTAAGGCAGCTCCGTGTGTGTGTTCACCAAGAGGAATTTCAAGTAAAGATCAACTGGGAGAGTAGTCTCAATTTGGACCTGGGAGAAGGGACAGTTCAGCCCTTCGCTTTTGGACATAAGAAGAGTCTGGCTACTCACGTCCTTCTTCACACTGAGGCCAGCCAGTTGCCCTGAAGGGCTGGCAATGGGGCAGAGAGGCCAATGCCCCACTTTAGTTGGCCCACAGAGCTTTTTGCCTCCTGCCAAAACACATGAATAGCTGTATATTCCCCCAACGGGACACACAACTTGTGGGAGAAAACTGACATAAGAGAAGGATTAAGCCTCCTCAACCCTGCTCCCCCATGTTGTGGCTCCAATCTGAATTTGAGCATCCTCTGTCTACTATTTCCACTTTAAACACCCATGGAGATCCAATCATGGATCTGGTGGCGTGATGCCTAGTTAGTCCAAAGAGCACACACAAATATTTTGAGAGTCACATTGGACATTACCAAGTAAATACGATGTACACAAAGCATCCGTTTACATGAAGTGCTTATTGTCTGCCCTGACCCGGGTGGACCCGGGTGGCCCGATCTCATCTGCTCTCGGAAGCCAAGCAGGGCCGGCCCTGGCGAGTCCTTGGGTGGGAGGCCGCCCAGGGAGTCCAGGGTCGCTCTGCAGAGGAAGGCCATGTGGCCAACCACCTCTGAACGTCTCTTGCCCTGAAAAGCCCACGAGGGGCTGCCATACGTCGGTTGTGACTTGGCTGCACTTATTCTCTCCCTTTAGGTCATCAGGAGGACGTGTGAGAGATTTGAGTATTTAACTTTTGCCATTGAAACGTGAAGTCTATGCAGCCTGAAACATCTTCCAACTCTCTCTAAAATTAACTCTTTCCTGACACTTTGACTCCCTGGAGGGTTCTGGGCAGAGTGTTCAGAGGCAAGTCCGAAAGGCCATTGGTGGAGAACCTGACGGGCACCCCTTGCCCCTCTCTCTCTCTCTCTCTTACAGATAAGGTTCTAGTCCACTGTGCCATGGGCCGCAGCCGCTCGGCGTCCTTGGTCTTGGCTTACTTGATGATTTACAAGAACATGACTGTAGTCGATGCCATAGATCAAGTGCTCAAGCATCGATGCATCCTTCCCAACCGCGGCTTCCTGAAACAGCTCCGAGAACTGGATATACAGCTGGCCCTGGAGAGGAGGAATGCCACAAATGGGGTCGCCTCTAGCAGAGAACAGGCGGCTGGCATCGAGACAGAGATCTAACACTTCCTGTCGCCCAGAGAAGAAGTACCATTTAAAAGAAAAGGATCAGTGAGCTTGAGACGATTCAGTCAAGAGAGTCATTTGTAAAGAGGGTTTTTTGTGGGGGGGGCGGGGCGTGGGGGGGAAGAGTGGGGAATCAATAGCACTTCAAATGCCTTAAGGGTATTTTCAGCTGGGAAATACACAAGCGAAGAAAAGAAGGAAATCCTGCAAAGAAGCCTTGAGGGGGGGACTTGAAAATGATGCTCTTCAGACTCTTGCTGGGGAAAGGAGGGGGTGGGTGACGGGGATTATAGGAGCTCCTGTAGCCCAAGGCGGAGCGCACAACATATGGGAGGGGCTTAGCTGGGGTCCAGGTTGACCCACTGCTGGAAACTGATTGACTGCTGCCCTTTTGGAGGTGATGCAGTTGCTCCCATTGACAGCAGAAAGGTCTCAAGGCGTAAGGATGTTCGCTTGACAAGGAAGCAGGATTTCTCTCTCCTGGGCAAGGGGGTGGTAGCCACGAGGGCCACTCACATTCCCCACGCCCTGATTTATTAAAGGCTTTCAACCCTGTTACGGGATCATACAAAGAACGAGGCAGCGGGCTCTCTGGGAGAACGGCTCACAATCTAAGGGCCGCAACGAAGCAGCAGTGGGAAGGGGAGGGGAAGCAGCACTTTCCCAACTCAGTTTCCTGTAACCAGCGACTCTTCCACTTGGCCCTCCGTAAACCTCACCCTGTGAAGGAAGAGTCCGGGGGCAAGTCGATCACAACCGCGCTGGTGGAGGGGACCTCCCTGGCTCTCCCTCCCTCTGGCGTGCGTGGCTTCAAACAGAATAGCAACTTTCAACAAAAGCCACAGCCAGTACACTTTCATTGCAACCGCAAAAGCAGACTTGCACACAGTCCCAACGTCACTTTTCATGCTCTGTCTGACCCGCAGAGCATACCTGAACTCAGTGTGCTGGGGGCCATTATTTCAGATACCTCTTGAAGGCACAAGGAGAGCATCTGGTGCTTTCCCTTGGTATATTCTTCGAAATTCTCTAGTTTTGCTCAAAGTTGTTTGTTTATTACCTGTCGACTTTCTTTATATCTTACTGAGGCTGGTGACAGATTACAAAATATAAAAACAATACAATCTGGCCGCAGAAGGCATCCAATCACAATGCAATAGGACAAGGATCACGACGTTAGAAATCAGTGCCAAGGCAAACAACGACAAGACGTGACAGACAAGAAGCAGTGCAGGAAACGGGATGGCAAAAGCTGAGGTCCCGTTCTCTGCCTCCACCACCCGGCTGGCCTTTGCTGCTTCCGTAACAACGGCCACTGCCTCTCACCAGCAATTCTGCCGCTCCTCAGTGCGAGGAAGCAGAGGGCCACAGCAGATCCCACAACTTCTCCAGAAGCAGTAAAGCTGCTTGGCAGGGCGGGCAAAGAGAGGGGGGAGCCCCAGGGAATCATAGCGTCGGCTGGAGCTTATATGCCAGGTAGTCCAACCTCCTGGTCAGTGCAAGGCATCCAAAGCAACAGCATCCCCCAAAATTGTTGCCCAGCCTCTATCTGGAGACCTTTGGCAAGGAAGAGCTCATTGGCCCTATAGGCAATCTATAGATCTAATTCTCAATCTACAGATCTAATTCTGGGGATACTTAAACCTGTGGGTTGGAGCCATGGAAACAAAAGGGGGTTTTCGCCCCCCCCCAGCAAGCTTCCCCTAGGTCTGCACAAAAATCAGAAGAGGTGTTTTGTTTTGTTTTTAAGGAGGGGAATTTAGGAACAAAGGAACACATCTGCACAAACACCATCACCTGACCAGCAACAGGGCGGTAAGGATGTGCTGGGTGGCTCACTGTGCTGTAACGCAGCCCGTCCCCGCCTGTCCTCTGCAGGCTGGCTGACAGGTGCAGAGGAGGAGAGGGCGTCACAAAGGAGATGGCAGCATTGTGGGCGGGTGCGGAACAGCAGGACTTGTGGCAGCCCTTCCACTCCAGGTGGATGGCGGGGGGGAGGGGGAGCAATGCCCCCCCACCCCCAAGCAGCAGAAAGAGCAGACGAGTGGGCTGGTCTCACGGGAGGTGTGCAGGTGGCCGGGTGAAGGGGAGCTCCTGCTGCCCCCGCCTGCAGAGACCACTGCTGAGGCAGCCATGCTTGAGGTGGGCCGACGGGTGAGGAGGGGAAGCCCCCACTGCTGGGCCCAGGAAGGGGAGCGACAGGCGAGTGGGGAGGGTGGCCAAACAAAACACCTGCGATACTCTTAGTGGGTGAAGGGGAGTGGTAGAGGGGTCTTCTCCTATAACGTACAGTCATTAAATCCCACCTTGCCCTCTGGGACTTTTTTTTTTTTTTGATAAACCAGATCTGACATCTGTCTGATTGCCTTTCCTTTGGCTCATAGCTAGAGCTGCGAACAGCGAGGACTTGACCTTTTAGAAACCTTGCAAGCTCACAGGATAACACTGAGTTCTCTGTAGTTGCATCTCTCGGGCACTATGACAGACATCAAAACATGTGCAAGAACCAACTATGGCCAGCTGTACTGCACCAGTGTGGGGAACTGTTCACAATGTCAGTGAATGCCTTACTGACAGCTGTTCTGCATAACCAAGAGCTTACATTACTGAGCATCCCAGATTTGCAGAAAAACTTGATGTCTAAGACACATTGTGGGTTAACCCTCCCCCCAAATGATAGAAGCACGGTCTGTGGCTATAAGAAATTAATGCCCTCAATTGCCACTGCTAGGCAATGTTGCCAGCCTTCAAGCCTTGGCTTTTGTCAGTCAAAAGCCAGGAGGAGGTGTGGGGTGGGGCCCTTTCCATGGCTGCTTTGGCCTTTAAGGGAAGAAAAATCTAAGACAGGTGTGGCAAAAACCACCAGGCAAGTTGCTGCCATGTGAGTTGCATGACCCATCCAGGCCTCACTGCTTGCTACTGTTCAACATGAGCCACTCCACAAAAGGCAACGTGGTATAACAGAGTTTCAGCGGAGGACCTGTGAAACCCAGGTTTAAATCCTCACTCTTCTGGAAAAGCTCAGTGGGTGACCTTAGGGTACCCTACCTCAAAAGGTCAGTGTGAAATAGAGGACAGGATAATGACGTAAGCTGCTTTGTGTCCCCATTGCGGGGGACGGTGGGGTATGAATGAATTAAATAATAAATATAGCTGAAGATGGAGGGGCAGATAAAAGGTAGGCTGGTTGGTGGGTAGGAAGGCGAAAAGGAAACTGGGAAGTTGAAAATATGGGCCCTGCCAGGAGCAGGGAAATAATGTGGAGGGGGTATAGAGAGGGAAAGGCAGGAACTCCTCACAGATCCTTGCTAGTTCCCCATTGTACGATTGGGCCCAGCCTGGCCAGGCACCACCCAACTTAGCTGAGCCACATCGACCGGGCTGGCACCGCACAACTGGGCCAGACTTTACCTGAGAAGTGTCTGCTGCGGGGGGGGGGGGATCAGAACATGGGGACAGCTAGCTGGTGAATGGGAAGGAGAGAAGGAAGCAGAAAAAGGGTATGGGGACTTTCCGAGAAAGGAAAGAGGATAGTGGGAGAGGGGAAACTGAGATGCCCCCACAATCCTTGCAGGTCCCCCGCTTGTTCCCCCCCCTAAATTTCAGAACCCCATCCCCTTTCCTAGCGACACTTACGTTGGGCAGAAGGCTGTTGTTGCTACGGATGTGGCCGCCACCCTGCTACCTGAGTCCGGAAAATCACAGCTGACGATGTAGGCCTAGAATCCAGCAAGAGCCATGGCTGCTTCAAGGATTCGGGTACCGGAGAAAGCTCACCATGGTGAGTTACAGAGCCAGATGGGCAGCCCATATTGTCACAGGGAAATCCCCTGAGATGCAGTGACCTCCCTTATGCTTTGAAAGAGACAGATGACACTCTTCTGCGCATCTGAACCTCATTTTGGCTTTTCACACTGTTTCATGAGGATCGAAAAGATGCTGGGGAAATTGGGTGAAGCTGCGGCTGTGCAGCAAGTAGTGGAAGACTGACACATACAATCGGGGGGGGGGGAAGGAAGAGCGAGGCAGAGCAGTGGCTTGTGGGAAATTGGTCTGTGTTTGCAAGGCAAGAGCCTGCAAGATCCTTTTGAGTACCAGGAACATAAATCACGACCCAGTCTTTCACAAGGGAATATATAACCACATGCTTCTAACAACACCAGAGACGTAACTGACTGGGGTCCCAGCTGAGAAATGTTAGAAGAAGGGCTGCATATCTCTAGCCAGTTTGGTGTAGTGGTTAAGTGCGCGGACTCTAATCTGGGAGAACCGGGTCTGATTCCCCACTCCTCCACTTGCACCTGGCTGGACGACCTTGGGCAAGCCATAGTTCTGATAAGAGCTGTCCTTGAAAAAAGAGCCATTTCTGTCAAGAGCTCTCTCAGCCTCACCTACCTCACAGGGTGTCTGTTGTGGGGAGGGGAAGGGGAAGGAGTTTGTAAGCCGCTCTGAGACACCTTTGGGTAGTGAAGGGCGGGGTATAAATCCAATCTCTCCTTCTTCTTATGCTGAAAGATTCACAATACTAAGCACAGTTTCCAAGGCAGCAGAAAACCTGAAAGGAAGGGTATCTTCTGACCCGTAGAGGATCCCCCCAATAATAGTCCTTGAAACAAAATGACTGGTATTTTAACGTAGTAATCCCCCCCTCACCTGATTGTGCCCATAAACAATGCACCACAGCATTTTGTTAAACTGAGAAGCAACCCCACCAATGGGAAAAGCAGAACATTCTGGTTTCCACTCTTTTCGTAGCTTCCATTTACTTAGCAAGCTCTGCTTTTCTCAAGCTTAGCACATCTCACAATACAACTGTTGACAGAAATGCTCACACAAAACAAAACGGCGTTGCTCGAATTTACTTCATCCAGAGCTATCTGTCTTTCAAACATCTAGAAAAATTGGGGGAAGGTTTTGCTGTCCATTGCACACACTTGCTCAACTTGGATATTTTATTTTGAATCCACCACCTGTCTTTTTACAAAAAGCGGGTGCCACTGTTGAGCCACCACGTCGCCGGGGCTCCCAAAGACCACCTGCAGCTCGAGAACTTGTTCTCAGCTCAGCATCCGCTGGATTGCCATGGTCGACCGGCGCAGAAAGCATGTCAAGATTTGCAACCTGCCCTCTTCCAGGGACTGAAAACTCATCCTGTGCTTGTTAGTCTACTTGGCTAAAACGGTTTAGACTAGAAGGGTTCCCAACCTTCTTGAGCCTGCAGGCACCTTTGGAATTTGGACACAGGATGGTAGGTACAATCACAAAAGGACTGTTGCAGGAGGCGGCACCAGCCACAAAATGTCAGGGAGGGAGAATATGCGCAGCTCTTATAGTAAGTTTTACAGGCACAAGCTCTGTTTCACAGGATGCCTTTTAATCTGCACAGCCAATAAGGGACCCTGCTGGGCAAAAGTCCCACATAGCCCCACCCGCCTTAAGAACATAAGAGAAGCTAGTGTTGAATCAGGCCAAAGGCCCATCCAGTCCAACACTCTGTGTCACACAGTGGCCAAAGATACCAGGTGCCACCGGGAGGTCCACCAGTGGGGCCTTCTGAAAGCACTTGGCAGGATCCAGCCCAGGGGTTGGCAGGCACCATGTTGCCCCCCCCCCCCCGGTTTAGAAGGGCAGAAGAGATCCTCGGGGACAACCAACTGGTCAGTGGGAACTATTGTTTGGTCTGAGCTGCCAGAGGGAAGGGTATGGAAAGCAAAGTAAAATCCTTAATGTCACAACAGGGGGCAAGGCAAAAGGTAATCAAGACCTTGTGGTGGATTGCAGCTTCTGCTAGCCATAGCTGTAAAAAGAAACTTCTGCAGGATGTGCCTCTTCTGAGGGTACTGCAGTGGGGCCTGCAGGCATCCATTCTTAGCGAGGGGAAGGGGGCAAGGCCCTAAAGGCAACCTGTTTATCTTCGACGTGAACTCTGTGCTTCACATCCATGGGAGATTAGCGAGCAGTGGCCTACCTGGAAGAGGGTGCTGGCAGGTCATTACTGCGAAGCTGAGGATAAGATGTGACGTCCCATGTTGGTACGAGAGTTCTTTTGGACATCTAGGGCGTAGTGCCTTATGAACGTATTAGGCATAGCCCACATAGCGGCTCTGCAAATGTCCATTAAGGGAACTCCCTGGAGGAAGGCAGTTGAGGCTGTTTAGGAAGAACAGAAGCACACGTTTCGTGTCCAAGGTGTGTAACAGCCTCTCCTCTGAGGATGTCAGAGCAGGGAAGAAATCCAGGAGGAAGACCTCTGCCTGTAGGTGAAATTCCGAAACTACCTTTGGCAAGAACAAGATGTCAGGTACAAGGCGGACGCCGTCTGGCAAAAATGACAAGTAAGCAGTATCATGTCTGAAAGCCAGTATTTCTCCAACTTGCCTTGCTGAAGTGACAGCCACCAGAAAGGCTGTTTTCCAGGACAGGAATTCCATGTCGCAAGTTGCGAGCGGCTCAAAGGGTTTCCTGGTGAGTTGGTGAAGGACCAGGGGAAGGTCCCAGGGGACGACAGGACTTTTGATGGGAGGGTTAAGGTGTAACAGTCCCTTCAAAAAATGTTTAGAAAGAGGATGCGAGAACAGTGTGCATTCCTCAACTTGAACATGGTAGGCTGAAAGTGCAGCCAAATAAACCTTTAACAAGGAATGTGATAGTCCCGAGTCAGCGAGAGACAGGAGGAATTCGAAAACCTTCTCGAGACCTGCGGAGGTGGGGCATCCTTACCCAAGGAGGAACAAAACCGTAGCCACTTGTAATGATAAGATTTTCGTGTAGTGGACTTTCTGGAGTTTAGCAAGACATTTGCTATGCAGGAGGAAAAGCTGTTGACACCACTCTCCAGGCTGTCAACTTCATTCATGGCATGTCGTGGTATAGGAGAGGGGACTCGGTTAGGAACAGAAGGTCTTGTACCGGAGGAAATTGGTGGTAGACCCCCGCTGACAGATCATGATGGTTGAAAACCATGGTTGCCTCGGCCACCACGGGGTTATGAGGATGCAGTCTGCTCTGTCGCTGATGATTCTGCGGACCACTCTCAGAAGTAGAGGCAGTGGAGGGAAGAGGAAAAGAAATTCTCTGGACCACGGGTAGAGGAGACCGTCCCTAAAGACTGCGGGTCCCTGCCACCTCGGCTGCAGAACAGAGGACACTTTTTTTCGCCCTGGTGGTGAAAACATCTATCTAGGGGAACTCCCACTTGCGGAAGAGTGGAGGAAGGTAAGTCGGATTCATTTCCCACTCGTGCAAACTGAGTCCTGCCCGACTCAGGTGGTCCGCCTGCACATTCATGTGCTCTGGGATGTGCATGGCGACTAGGAAAATGTTGTGGGCGA